TCAAGAGGCAAACAAAAGGTATTCATGAAGCACATCCATCACTTTGGCAGTGAATATTCTAAAATGCACAGATGGGAAGTATCCATCGCGTTTAAGATCTGTGGATATTTTGGGGTCATGCGGTGCAGAGCTATTTACGAACTCGCTTATTGCTTGAGGCCATCTAGTTCTGCTAACAATACGTTCAGCCTTGCATTACTCCTAATTTCATCAATTTATCCATCTTTTATTTATTCATCATTGAGGGTCCGTTTTGTCATGCTACTGGGATTACACTTGTTAACACGACACATACAGATTTTGCATGTACTGTTTTTAGCCTTGTAACACAGATATAAACATATAAGTATTTATTATAGCTCAATTACCATATTCTATATGATACAAATAACCCCTCTTTCTAAATGTATGCATATATATTTACCTTAAATCTTTTACACTGGGCCTCGTGCTTAGTTGTATAATAGAAAGGTTTTTTTTACTGCTAATCATATCCTATCTTATGAATATTATTAAAAGTTCATAGGCAAATTTTATCAGCGATATTGTTGGCATGTTAATTAGACCATTTAAATATTTGAGATGGTTTAGTACTAAGTTCAATGTGAAGCTTTAGATTTAAAAATTATTCTCGCCAATTGGTCATGTAGGAGCATCTAACCTGGAATTGGCATAACTTTTTCATTGAGAGTTGCCAATTTCAATGTTTAGTGGTCATTTTTAATGGACTACACAAAATTACCTTGGCAACATAAGTAGGACTTTAAGCGGTTAGTTGCACCCAAGCATGTGCTAATTTCAAGTCCTTATAACTTACCGACAACTTTCTTAGGATGCATCCTCTGGATCTAGCTATGTCATCGTTCATCTTACTCCGATAAGAGTCTAATTCGGTTATTAACCCTCATTGATAATATTGGCATACACATCTAGGGGGTGTTTCACAAAGATCCTAAGTCGAACTTAACTCTAAGTTGGACTGTAACATTATTGAGAGCCATTTGTAGCCTTAAGATAAAATATATTCAAAAGCAAAAATTCAAGTATTTTAGACTTTACATAAATTCCATATCAAGAACATGAAATAATAGATAATAGAAAAGATGAATGATTTGAATCAACATGTTATGCCTTTTAAAATAACTTTTACAAAATATTTTTAAAGATGCTTTCGGCTTTCCATAATTGTTAAGTCCAACGTAGAGATAAGTTCAACTTGAGATCTTTGTGAAACACCCCCCTGGGGGCTTTCTTGTTGATCCTTTTCTTAACCTCATTATATATATATATATATATATACCGGTATATGCTTGTGTCTTTTATCTACCCCTCTCCGAACCCTCTTGGTGTTTCTGAAGACTTCTTCCCAGCTCTAGACATTGATGAAGAGTCAAGCACATTTCTTGCCACCTCTAGCATAAGCTATCAAGCTGTTGGGGACACAGAGAGTAAGTAGTAGGGATGTGTGTGTGGTCTTTCCTGTTTTTCTTCATCAATCTCCTCTTAAGGGGCTTGGTAACATTGTTCACATGAGAGAACATGGTGCTAAAGTAGTAACTTTAATGCTAAATGTACAATTAAAAATGACCTTACAGTTTTAGTGAAAACAAACCATTATTAATTATAAAAATTGGGGAAAACTGATCTGATCTATTCCACAATTCTTTTTTCTTCAGCAAAACATCTTGATCATGAAAAAAAGGGAAATACAGAGTTACCGTAATTTTTTTTGGATCAAGAACTATATACAGAGCCCTGTTCCATAAAACTTGATATCAATAACTAGTTTCAGTATTAAAGGTAAAGACCAGTTATGGTCATGCGATTGCATTGTGAAAGAAACGTTGTGGAATCAATCAGAAAAGGTTGATCATCTAGCATCTAGCATCTGCAAGGTTCTGGAATCATCAAAATGATAAGAAATTTGGCCCATTCTTCGTAAAGTTACAAGCACTGTACACAAAAAGATATATATGGGACTACCCTATATCTCTCACAGACCATGAGAGAAACAAATTTACCAAATATATGAATTAGTAGGCGGTTTCCCGGCAAATTTTCTATCATCATGTATTAGTCAAAACATATTCTTTCACATGATTGGTAATGAGAGCTTCCATTTCATTTTTTGAAATTGGGGCGTTTCCAATACTGGTCTTTAACTTTAAACTCGGTGTTATAAGCTACTGAAATCAGAGCATCTGATTGGCTGAGAGGTGATTTGTCATAAAATTTGAACATTTGTTACTGATTAGGAGATTTATAAAAACAGGGTCCTGTTCCATTAAAGGCACACGTACTGCCATACTTGTAGCTACTTGCTCCCTCTATATAGAAAACTTACCCAATCGGTGCCTGTTGGTCCCCCATGATCCTCTTTTTCTTATTTAAATGAGAGCTGAGTTAATGAGATAGCCACCTGTCACAGTGACCTCGATGGCTCTCTGTGTGGTCTAATCCCTTCTGGCCCAGTAGTGGTGACGGTCTTTAAACTTAATGTCAATAACAAGTTACCATAACTGTCATAAGCTGCTGAAACCGTTGAATTTGATTGGCTGAGAGCAAATTAGTACTCGTTTGTGTAAAATTTGTATTGATAACAAGTTTTATGAAAGGGCTCTGGACTTTATACAAGGAATTCACATTTTTGGGTCGTCGTACCTCTCTGTCTCAAGCTTGTTCAGGCTTCCAGGTTTCTTTTCAAATTAATTTTGGATTAATGGAATATAACCAACTGGTATTTCTGTATACAAACTTTTAAAGTCTGTATGCATCTGCCCTTAGTAAAACTCTTGAGATTTTAGGGGTTTAGACTTAGATTTCAGAAACCCATTTGTCCCGGGCCCCTCAAGCCCTGCCTGCATACATAGGTATGTAACATTGAAATGTAAAACATATATGAAGTATATATGTAGTTGATTTTTTAAACCCATGACAAGGGTAAGCTTGTCGATATCAATATTTCCTTGAATTTAGTATTAAAAAATTCAGTGAAATGGAATAAAGCCCTAGTTTTTTAATGTGCCAAATTATGGGGATAGAATATGTTATGGCTGGCTAAACCTGTTTTTTTTCTGGCCAATAGTATTTTATGTTATTGTTATTAAACATCTCCCGTTTTGATAACATTTCATTTGCTTTGATCAATGATTAACTTGATATCAGTTAACAGAATTTGTTAAACAAAATGCAATAAACAAATTTAATTCATTGTAACCATGTATTTATGCCTATTTTGTCTATCATTCTCTTATGTCTTTAATATAAACATAACATAGACATTGTGTTGTGTCTGTATTACATAGACGCTCTGTTATGTCTATATTATATAGACTCTGTTTCTACCATTCTCTCTACCCTCAGTTTATTATCTGTTCTCATGCCCCACATCTCCTTTTCTTTTATATTTTCGCATTTCCCTTTGCTTTCCCCCCCCCCCCCCCCCCCCCTCTCTCTCTCTCTCTCTTTCTCTGAAATATCCCTTCTCTCTCTGTTTTCCAGTTTATACTTTAATGTTCTTTTCCATGACCACCCTTTTTTTCTTCTCTTTTACTCTTTCTCATGTTCAACATCTCTCCTTCTTTCCCTGAATTTCTTTCTATTTCTCTCTCAACCTATATATTATACTGTTCATTAAACCAATGCATCATCCTTTTCATCATTTTACATATTTATATCAGTTGCATGTTTATCCATTTAATATCACTCTTAGGCACTCTTTAATATTAAGCACTTTTTTAAAGATTCATTATATTTAAAATACTAACATCCAATGCGTATTTCTTTATTAACATCAAGCCATCTTTCCCCCATTGGATGACTTAGAGGTGACCAGGTTTTCATCTTCTAATTCAAGCTTTGACTCTACTAACAATCTAGACAGTAAGTTGGTGAAAAGGAACATCCCTACATTGCTAATCTCTGTTTTTAAGATCATGATTAACACCTTAACTTGTTAATATATATATATATATGTATCTTATTAATAATAATTTTGATAATGATATTGATAATGATAACGCTTGCCTTGAAATTCAAAGGTCATGGTTCGATCTCTGATATGGCACTAATGTCCTTTGGCAAGCATAAATCTTCATTTGCCACACTCAACCCAGGTGAGGTAAATGGCAGGAATTAATTCCTTGAAATACTAGAGCGCTGTAATGGCAGCTATGCTAAAGCCGAGGTAATAATTGATGTGCCTCGGAATAGAATTTCTAGATAGACGGCGCTATAGAAATGCCTATAATTATTATTATTATAGTGGATTCTTGTATAGCCCTCATGCATGAATGTCAGGTGTGACACTCCCGGCCTTAGCATGGCTGCCATTATGGCATTTCAAGGAATATATTCCTGTAATACCTCACCTGGATGGAGTGTGGCAAATGTAAAATAATGTCTTAGCAAAGGGCATTAGTGCCATGGCGTGACTTGAATCGTGATATCTACCAGACCACGACACCTCTCTGATAAGTCCAATTAACTTCATCCCTGGACCCAAATCTATTCCTAACCCTAATCTAAAACCGCATTACTAAGCCAGCCATGTTTCTATTTCTTTGATGAATTTTCAATCTGGAACAAATGCCAAGTGGAGGTGAATTTTTGGTTGGCTAAGATTCTTGATAAGGCTTGACAGATTTCCTATTACAAAAGTAAAACCCGATTTCTTTTTATTAAGTCTTTATTGAAAAAAATAAAATTTCATCCAAATTAATTTTTTCATCTGCTATATTATAAGCAAATGAAAATTTCATTTTGATTTCTTTTAATTTTAGTACATGTTTCATGAAGTTTATTAACATTTTGAATAGTGCAGAAAGTTAATTTGATGTCAAACTAGAAAAATGTTCTTCTTTGTGTAAATTTTTATTTTAGTCCATCTTATTTAGATGTCTACAAAATATTGCTTGGACCTTTCACTGAATGTCATGACCTGTCCCATTTATTTCATTCCAGCCACCTCTCCTGCCGAGCAAAGGTCAGATTCTCATCCTCCCTCTGACCCCTTGACCTGTCCCGTGGTCAAAGGTCACAAGACACTCATTGTGGTTGATAGGGGCTACGACAAGGGGCTTGGGATCAGCCTTGTTGGAGGAGCAGATACACAACAGGTACATGCAACAAACAACCACCGTCAAACCTGTCTATTAAGGCCACCCAAGAGAAACAAAATATGGCCACTGTAGACAGTTGGCCTTTCTAGACAGCCACAGGTTCTTACAACACACATTTCATTCTAGAGAAGGCAATATGGGTGACCACTATAGACAGGTGGTCTTTCTAGACAGGTTCTACAACACACATTTCATTCTAGAGGAGGCAATATGGGTGACCACTATAGACAGGTTGTCATTCTAGACATTCTAGAGGAGGCAATATGGGTGACCACTAAAGACAGGTTGTCATTCTAGACAGGTCCTACAACACACATTTCATTCTAGAGGAGGCAATATGGGTGACCACTATAGACAGGTTGTCATTCTAGACATTCTAGAGGAGGCAATATGGGTGACCACTAAAGACAGGTTGTCATTCTAGACAGGTCCTACAACACACATTTCATTCTAGAGGAGGCAATATGGGTGACCACTATAGACAGGTTGTCATTCTAGACATTCTAGAGGAGGCAATATGGGTGACCACTAAAGACAGGTGGTCTTTCTAGACAGGTTCTACAGACACACATTTCATTCTAGAGGAGGCAATATGGGTGACCGCTATAGACAGGTGGTCATTCTAGACAGGTCCTACAACATACATTTCATTCTAGAGGAGGCAATATGGGTGACCGCTATAGACAGGTGACCACTATAGACAGGTCCTACAACACACATTTCATTCTAGAGGAGGCAATATGGGTGACCGCTATAGACAGGTGACCTTTATAGAGAGCAAGCCACTAAGACAGGTTTGACTTTATCTTTTGGACTGTATCATGAGTCTTTCATTAGAGCTATTTTATAAGAGCACATTGAAATTTCCATGTATTGAACAGTAAACAATAATAGTAGTAATAATGTCCCAATCGCCCTTTCTCCTTAAATTCAATGTAAGAGTGGATAAATGTAATGGGGAAGTGTAATTCAAAAGAGAATATAGAAAGCAGTACACTGATGCTGGAAATATTTGGGGGGGGGGGGGTTATGGAAAAATAAGACAGACATGGCATCATAGGCCACAATGTGAGACATCAATTTATATCTTTAAAAATGATTTGTCAAGCTAAATTTGTAGCTTATCTGTATTTGCATACTCAGCTGGCTATGCAAAAATGCCCTAAATTTATTTTCATATTCCTTTTCATCTTCAGTGTTTTAGACTTTTAGTATGTCACTGAAATGTACTCCAGTAAGCATATTATATTTTTATCCATTTTTCCTTTTCTCTTTTTTGCTCTAGACTACCATCATGATCCAGAGCATAAAGCCTGATGGAGCAGTGGCTAAAGATGGCCGCCTTCAAGCTGGTGATCAAATCCTGGAGGTGAGGCATCCTAGGATCTTGAATCGTATGATTCTAACCATTCACCTTTATTTCTAAGTTTAACCCTATGTTAACTGGGGTGGGGGTCAATTTGACCCCCCCCCCCCCCCTGTAGAAATTTCGCGACTACTCCGAAACCGTGGCAGATATAAAATTTTCCTTTCATGACTTTTTTCTTTTGAGTCTTACGCATCTTTTAAAACAATTTTCTCGAAAATCCGACGTATAGTTACAAAGTGACGTGACCTTTTGTCTTTGTATGTCAACCCGAAAATCGCTCATTTTTTGTGATTTGTGTACAAAACATAAGGAAATGTCATTTTTCCTAAAAAGAGATAAAACATTGGTTATTTAGTCTTGTTTAAAGTTTAGGTGTTTGTTTTGGGGTCAAAATAGTTGAATTGTAATTATAAATGAAATAAAACAACAAAAACAACAAAACAATAAAATGCATAAGTCAAAAAAAACACGAAATACTTAAGAAATTATCAAAAAAAGAGATAACATAAGGAATAACCTGGCTCTTTCAATTTTTTGTGCTGTATTATTATTCCAAATGGTCTATCAAATATATATGTAGTGAAAAAGAATGCTTAAATATGAATAATGTATGATTTATGGGCAAAAACAGGAATTTTATGACCTTGTTTGCATAAATTACCAAAAATATGCAAATGAGTGAATTTTTCAAAAAATTGAAATTACCATAGTATTCTATACACTTCACTTGACATGTATGCAAATTTTCGCAGCGATCGGCAGTGAAACGGCCGAGATCTTAGGGGGGGGGGGTAAAAACCTGGTCTGAAATAGCCCTGTTAAAATAGGGTTAAAGTATTTAAAAGTGTAAAGATTCATCATCGACAGAAAATTATTATCACAGTAGGGCAATTATAAGAAATTCAATGAATGCTGGAAGACTATTCCCTTTTAAAACAGGGTAGTCATACAATGTAAGGCACATTGTATCGTGTGCACATACACCATTTAGTCATTTAAGTAAATTATTTTAAGATGCCAGTTACTAGGGTTTTTTACGTCAGAAAGAACCGTTTATATGTTGCTATCACCCAAACGGTCTCTGAATTCTAATGATATCCCATGTACATGTGCCCTCGGACACTTCAATAGGAAAAGCGAAAAGATTTGCACAATGGCAGTAAATAATATCAAGATCCTTTTGCATCTGACTGACTTGCAGGTGGACGGCTTAGACTTTGAGACCATCACACATGAGGCTGCCCTCAATGTCCTCCGGCAGACAGCCTCCAAGGTCCGCATGCTGGTGCTTCGGGAAGACCCCCCTCCGTCCACCCCCACCGCTGCCCCAAGCCAGGGGGAGGAGGAGGAGGTAGAGGAAGATGCAGAGGCTTTTACAGTGATCATACATCAGCCAGCAGGCCAGAGTCTCGGGCTTAGCATTGCCGGAAAGTGAGTAGAGGATTCTTTTAGTAAGGAAAAAGATGGGGAATGTAAAATTGTTGATATTTCAAGTCGCTATTTTACGTTTCTGACAGCCTTCTCCTTTCATAATTTTGTTAATAGCAACATTTTTAGGTTCAATTTTCTTCCTCTTCTTCTTCTTTTTCGTCTTCTTCATTTTTCCTCCTCCTCCTCCTCCTCCTCCTTCTCCTTCTCCTTCTCTTATTCTTCTTTTTTCTTCATCTTCTTATTCTTCTTCTCCTTTTTACCTTCTTCTTCTTCTTCTACTTCTTCTTCTACATTTACAGTAGCTTATAACAACCAACTGCAACGATTTTAGTAGCATATATGACTAACATGCAATAATTTCAGTATGTTATATTAACTAGAGAAGCTTTTTACTGTAATTATCTTTTTCTTACAGCCCTTTCAATGACACAATTTCAGTATCATAAATCAACCACATGCAGTAATTTATTAACATCAATCAACTGCAACAAATTCATGAGCTTATATCAATTAATTTCAATAACTGCTCACAACCAACCACATGCAACAACTCAGTAGCTTACGGTATATCAATCAACTGCAACAATGACAATAGCTCATTTCAATCAAATGCAAATATTGTTGGGAGCTGATGTTCTTCAAATATTCCTATTTATAGTTACACACATAATTGTAAAATATGATGCGCTGATAGCCAAAATGGTATTTAGTCTTTTTAAAAGTATGAGTTTTATGCCCTAATTGCTGTTAGCACACGATGAGATATATTTTTAAAAAAAAAATTTTTTTTTACAATGCTAGTAATCACTTGTATTTCAATTCTACAATGTTTAGGGGAGGTGCCCTCTATGTCTCGGACATTGCCCAGGGGAGTGTGGCCGATTCCAACGGTCAGCTCATGAGAGGTGACCAGATTATAGCGGTCAACAATCTAGCGGTCAAGAATATTCCACAGGAAGCTCTAGCCACCCTTCGACAGGTCAGTTTTGAAAATGAAGAAATGTTACAAAAATTATTATTCCCCAAAATTGTGTATTTCCGCTGCGCAGGCCTCTCTGGAAATATAATACACTGTTTGAAGAAACTGAATTTGATACATGGTAGGTATAGCACTGTTGATCTTTTATGGTACACAAACCTGCATGAAATCAATTTATTCATCGTTTTATTAAAAATAATTTAACAGCTGTCCTTCTGAGAAATGTGATGCCATGGTGACAAAATCGATTTCTAGCATATCAGGCATTGGCAGCTGTTGAAACACTTGGAATGCAAATTTCTCATTTTTGTGACCACATTGCACATGCAGTGCTTTAATGTGTTGGAATTCAAAATAAAAATGATTTGTATTCTGCACTTTCTGATACAGAACCAGGCAATACTCTACAATGTAATATAATTAAAAAACAAAATGATATCAGACATGTCCAATAATTTTCCTACCAGCTCTTATAGGAAAAGAAGCTGCTTGATTCTCTTATAATGGTTTACAATTTCACAATTCATTGGAGTTAACATCACATGAAAAAGAATATAATATAACAAATCATTTGAAGTGCACTAAGATAAGTAATGTTTCTATTTATATATATAAAAGTACACCTTACGTATGGACTTGGATACAGATGGGTGGGTACCGGTAGTTGGATTTAGAATTTGATAGTAAAATACCTAAAAATGCATGAAATATGCACTAATCAACACATTCACCTTTAACCTTTGACCTGCAGAATGAAGAAGGTGATGTGTTCCTGAAGATCTCTCGTAGTGGTGGAGGATCTCGGCTGAGCATGAGCTCGTTTGAGACCGTTGTCACCGCCCAACCTATCACCATTGAACAGTCCCCGAGTCCAGGTAAGCTTAAAGGCCCACTGTACTACTTGTAGCTACTTGCGCCCTCTATATAGAAAACAATGCCTAATCAGTGTCTGTTGGTCCCCCATGATCCTCTTTTTCCTATGTTAATTGAGAGCTGAGTTGATGAGATAGCTACCTGTCAGTGACCTTGCTGGGTGGTCTAATCCCTCCTGTCCACACTAGTACAGATGCGCTTTAAACAGGAACTTTGGATATGGAAAGGTAGAGGTGGTGTTCTAAGACAACTAGTCATTGAACTTTCACTATCTAGTACCCCCAGATTCAATATCTATACCCCCCTTCCCCCCCCCCCCCCCCCACCCTCCTCGGTTGCTGTATGAGGGTATAAAGAGGGTTTTTTCAGAGCAGTACATGTCTGGTGGTAGTTGTAAGAGATAATCACCCTATGAGGGAAGTCCTCCTAATGGGTTATATTCGGGGGAGGGGGGGGGGGGGAGGGGGGATGTCCTTGAGGTAGTCATCAGGGAAGTGATATTCTGTAGGGTCATTCTTAAAGGGATCCGGTAACTTTGTCCTAGATTCTGAAACAAAATCGTGTATTTAGCCCATGCTGCAATGATAATTATAAACCTTTAGGTCAGTCAGGAACCCCATGACTCTTACAAGCCGATCGCCTGTCTTATTATCAAGATATTTATGATTGGATATCAAAATTTCATTTTTCATTTTCATAACGGTTTTTATAACACCACAGTCTATAGGGGAAAATGAGGATAGAAAAAACGGTCACTCAAAATTTTTTACTTTTTTGAGGCACTTCTTGATCATTTTGAAGCGCTTTTTTTTTAGGGCTACAATATAACACCATATTACAGACACTGATTATATGTAGGGCCATGCATCTCAGATTTAAATTGTTAAACAATGCCTTTAAGGGTAGTCATTCTAGGAGGGAGTTGTCTTGAGGATGATACGATCCTCACCTGGAGTATTACCCATGGTGCTAACACCATTTCACAATACATTAAATCTATATTTCCCACCCTCAACCCAGGTGAAGTACATGGCTTCCTAAAAGGAGAAAAAAAAAATCTGTGAATCCTGGAGTACCATATCAGAGCAGCTCTAATATACATGTTGCTGCATCATGCAAATATTGTATCAAATTAATTTAGAACCTGCAGAGTATAAATTATCTTTGGAGACTTATAGGGCTTTTATTTAAACTTTATTAATAATAAGTGCAAAATATGATTACCTTATTTGAAAATATTTATGATCAAATTTTTGGATGTAACGCCATTGTTGTTATGTTGTTATTATGTTTTATAATTTGTATAATTGTGTACCGGTACATTGTTTGTAATACCAATGAGCTACAAATTTCCTTTTTTTAGTGGACAATAAATCAATTCAATTAATAACCTGCAGTATATAAGATATTGGTGGAACTATAGGGCTTATTAATAAATTGTATTAATAAGAAGTGCTAAATTTGATTTTCTTATTTGTAATATTAGGTGGTGCTGAGATGAGAAGAGAAGAGTTCTCCCAGTCTCATGAATCGTTTGGTTCTAGCACTGAGATCTTCTCTGAGGAAGAAGAAGAAACATCTTCAAGGTAAGACCTGGGGGGGTGTTTCACAAAACTTGTCATCAGTGACAAATGACAGATTTTTTTTTTATAAGCTACTGAAATCCTTGCTTCTGATTGGTTATCAACAGATTTGTCATTGAAAAAAGGCTTTGTGAAACGGGTCCCTGTCCTAGATTTTCTGAATTGTGTTTGAAGATTGAACAAGGTTGATATAAAGCAAGTAATCGCCAACCATGAGAGGGTGGGGACATAAATACCTTTGACCTAAACCTGAAGTTGCCGGAGTGGAAATGCCTGAATCGAATGCGGATGAGAATGGGGCGGTGTAAGGCCAACATGGCGATGGACGAACTTAATTTAATTTGATGTAGGAACTTTACATTAATCTTGATCTAAGGAGACACAAACAAACGGACCTTTCGACGAGGTGATGTAGCATCTTAAAGAGAAGGTTCATTGATTTAAAAAACTAACTTTAATGTCATCATTGCAAAGGTGACACTTTGATTGGCCAAGGTTATCAAAAGCCAGTGCTTGGAAACATTCGAATTAATGATTATTAACAATTACAAAATGCTTAGATACAGCCCCGACATAGCACCTGAAAAGCTCCCCGGTCGCTGCTGAGATATGACGTCACATGTTGAACATGATGTGCACAAGCAGACGATGTCCCATGACATCTCACACAATTTCAGTGCCTGTTTTGTTATCTTTTCTTCAGTTATTTCTCTTACTTCAATACCTTCAGGCAAAATGTTTAATCTATTGCCTCACTCTTAACCCCGTGCATGGTATTATTTTGATGAAAAAATGCAAGGATTAAAAAAAAAAGGAATCCGTCGCTTGTAAACAAAATAAGACGCCATTGTATTTTCAGCTGCATACATCGCGGCAGGTTCGGCGTTTCAAGAGGGAACAATAATGACGTCCAGCTATCATTCCGGAGGTTTTTTAATTTGAAAGTGTGGTTTCCTTGATCGTTCATTGACCCATATCCTGTGTATTTACAAACAAAAGAATTTATTTATCAGAATGGGGGTCATATCCCTTTTTGAATGGTGTAAAATTCCATCACATTTATATACACTAAACTCATTATAATTTGAGAAATATATGCATTGCAATTATGTTCATTCTTTATGGGATGTCGTCTGCTTGGGCAGGGTTGGTTCATATTGTGACGGCATGAAAACTTTTTTTTTTCCGGCGAATCTCTCGCATATCCCAGATGCTATGGAGGTTGTTTTATTTGTATTTTTATAAACCACCTGATATGTAGTTGACCTAAAACTTGCATAATAGTCATCTAATAGCTTACCAGTTTCTAGTAATACGCTATTTGCCGTATTTGTGATTTTCTATGAACCCGCACTTTAAGGATTCTCTGAATGTGTTTGAAGAAGGATGATTGAGAAATAGATAATGTTTCCAGTGATTTCATGGAGCAAAGGTTTATGGTTATCCACTTTCTTTGATCAGGTAGTTTCAAAAGGACTTTTTCAAATTGTCTCATTTTCAGGCCATTCCCATTTCGATCTTTTGTTTTTGCAGGTTCTCATTATTAGTACAGAAATGTAATTTTTCACAGACCTTTTCAATGATCAGCGCAAATATCAGTAAATATGTACAATTGCTTTTTTGGCACACAGGGTATTGCGAAAGAAAGCCACCTAAAAAAAAAAAAATAGCTAAAAACAGTTTAAATATTGATTTAATTTTTTAAATGAATGAGGACTGTTAATGTGTATCCCAAATTCGATAGGTTACTTAAATTGACATATTGATTATATTTGAGTCATTAATATATTGAAATAATCATACAGCTGCAACCTGTATGGAGTTAAATACGATGTAGATTATTATCAATATTTTGATGAAATCATCCCATGGATTCTAAATTCCTCTTCCCTCAGTTCTGGTGTGAAGACCGTTACCTTGGAGCGAGGACCCGATGGCCTGGGCTTCAGTATCGTCGGGGGTTACGGCAGTCCCCACGGCAACCTCCCCATCTACATCAAGACCGTCTTCAACCGCGGTGCTGCGGCCGTTGCCAAGCAGCTCAAACGAGGCGACCAGATCCTGGCTGTCAATGGAGAATCACTAGAGGGCGCCACACACCAGACTGCGGTCAATCTCCTGAAGAAGGCTCGAGGTCAGGTCATCCTGACAGTGGTGACTAATTAATTGGATTAATTATGACCTGCATCATGTAGATATCTAGTGACCTTTGACATAAGTCAGTCACCTTTGACCTGACCTGTACTTTCTGTTGTACCCAGAGACCAAAGATGTATTGCGCTATATTGGTATCAAGTGACCCTTGACATAACCACATTTGACCCCGTCTATCAATATTTCAATGGAAAATGCAAATTTGTATCGTTCTGTACATTGGTATCTGAATAACACTTGACCCTGTTCTCGGATCATGCATACAACAGAGATCAAATTTGTATTCCTTTGAATCAATATCCAATTAAAATTTGACCCTCAAATATTCAGTCCTGTTATTTAAATTGTCTATCAAGTTATTCAATTATGTATCACTCTCTATTGGTATCACATGACCTTTGACCCCGACCGGTTACATATGAGCTTGCACTGTGAAATTTGTTTCAACCAAAAGTGACATGCAGCATATAGAAAGGTCATAAAACTTTTTGAGGGCAGTGTATATTACTTGCAATCATGATAAACTTGCAGGTATTCCCGGTAACAGATATTTCCTGTCATAAAGTAAAGGAGTAGATTACATACCATATATGATATTCTTGTTCGCACCCAGTACTAAAATATTTCCAAAAAATCGAAGTTACTATTCATACTTCCATTCCTTGTAGGAACATAACGTTTCACTTTATATATAAACCCGATCATTCCATGACCGTATATTCACTTACGAGATACGACTATTAATTCATTCATTTTGATGTGTGATTTTCCAATGCGTTCAAGTGTACTCAGTACTTGGTATTTGCCTGCATCATGATTTTATCAGTGATCTGAAATTTGCTCGGGCAACAATTGCTCCAGGCTTTATTTCATCAAAGATATATATGTTGGGTTAGGGTTGGCATGCAATTGGGTTTAAGGTTAGGTTAAAATACTCACCCAAAGAAAATTAATGACAACTGATAATTATGGACAAATTATTATGGATGGACATTTTTTCTCTTGAAAAACACTAAGAATTTGCTGAAGAAACATATAGATTTCATGGAAAGGCGTGAAATGCAATTTTGTGGCTAGCTCTGTCTAGCATGTGACGTCACGAATCTTGACGCTCTACAGAGGACCGCTGAAGGCAGAAAATCTGGATCTCAAAATTAACATTTTTGAGAGATTATTACTGCGGGCCCAAACATATTTTGAAGAGGGAAATTGTTATATTTGATCAGTAAGGCTTCCCCTTTGCAATGATATGAATTTTGCATCAATTTAAACACTTTTGATTCTTTGGGTGACTGCTTTAAGGGTTAGCTATAGTGTGTGGTTTAGTTCTGGGGTTAAATTAAGTGTTTGTTAAGTGTAGGAAATTGAGCAATTTTCGCCGGAGCATGTATCGTACAACAGATTTATCACGTTAAATATTTATTCAGAAAGAAATTAAAATTGTGCAAGTATTCATTTTTGTATTCATAATAGACTTCTTACTTTGCATTGATATACTCAACATGTCCAGGCCTGATAAAAACCCGATTTAAATCGGTTTCCTTTTTTTTTTTTCCTTTTTTTTTTTTTTTTACCAATTTTTTTTTTTTCTTCCCTATTTTATCCTGATTTTCCCGATTTCCCCTTATTTTCTCTATTCTTCCATGTTTTGCCCTATTTTTCTTCTAATTTTCCCAATTTTGTCCCAATTTTCTTACTCGAAAGGGGGGAATGTTGTTAGATGCCATTTTTTTCCCCGCGAATCCTCTTCTTCTTTTTTTCTCAAGGGGGGCGTGGTTGAGGGGAAAACAAAAAACTTATTTTTTTTTAGTGCTCACTATCACCCCTGCATGCCTCACTTTGTCTCATTATATTGAAGGATATATGTCATTTTTACAAACTTATTCTTGATGTTTATCACTCAGAACTACCAATCATGATTTCATTTTTTGAAATTATGTAAATACTTATCCAGTGAGTAAACTTGTATCAATGTATGAACATGGTTTTACAGTTATGCTGCTCTGTAAAACTGAGTAAAAAATTGATGCACATAAAGCAATGCATATATCAATTCTACATATATATTGGGGTTTTATATTAACCACACTTAGGCTAAGTACCAGGCTTCTCAAACTAAATATACATAGCCTACATGTAGTTCTTCATTATAAGCGATGGAAATATATGAAAAATTGGGCTAGTTGTAAGACTAATCTAGCCAGCTTGGGTTCAACAAACTTTTAAATCATGAAACGGGGAGTAGCACCTGCTATCATGCCTACCAGTATGTTTTCTTTTATATGATTGGATATCAAATAATTTGTCTAGAATAATGAGATATGATAACCTTGGAAAGATTTTTTTTCACTTAACAACCTTGGTGATCCTACATTTGTCTGTAACATGATTTGATCCAACATTTGCTACGTGGACAAATGCTGTGGGAGACAAATTTTGTGGATTTTATTTTAATGTAGGATTAGGGTTGCAATTGGGTTTTCAGTTTGGTTCAGTGTAAGGTTATGCCTCAGTCACATCTTTGGGTATTTAGTTTGCATATTGCTGCGTATTTATGGCATTAATTAATTAAAATTTATTCCTATTTCTTGATATCAAGAAATGATTTACTGTTGTAAAGCAATGGTAATTCTTGATATCAAGAATTGAATTCTTGATATCAAGAATTGAAATCTTGATATCTAGAAATTGGAATAAATGTTAAAACGGCTTGCCATAAATTAAATATGCAGCAATCAGCAAGCCAAATACGCAAAGGTGTGATTGAGGCATGAGACTAGGGTTGAAATTAAGAATTTGGTTAGCGTAATAATCGACCATAAAGCAAATGTCATAGGAGCATGTGTCGTATAAATATATAGAAAACAATGCTCTGTTATACATGAGGCTACTATTAAGATGACATTGAAAATTAAAAGGAACTGTCCAAAATGTTTTTTCTGAATATTGAAATCAGTTCATGCGGAATTCCACCACCTTTTCTTAAAAATGCTTAATAGTGCCTTTGATTAGTAGTATGTAAATTGTAAGTCTTTAAATTTGTCACTGGTCAAATGCCACTCAATTCATCTTGACATTAAAAACAATATTGTATTCAAATATTTGTCACTTAAATATTCATCTCTTATATTCTACTGTCGATATTCAAACATAGCATTTTAACTTCAACGAATAAATGTAATACTTATATTTTATTTATAGATCATTTGGAAGTACTTTTGTCGCTGTTGGTATTCAAAGGGTGCATTTTTAATCCATGTTCATAGATGATTAATAGTATTTTAACTCATTTTTCATATTTACTATTATAGTTTATGCCTATAAAGTGCCTTGATTATGGAAACTAGCCACTGGGTTCTAATATTGACATCGATCATATGTATATTTTTATGAATGTTTAGTTTGAATTAGTTCACATTTTATTGTTATATATGAATGATGCAAATAAATTAAAGTACTTACCTGCATATCCTTTATATTGATGAGTCTGTTTAATTCTCATCTGTGTTCCTAGTGATATGAATGATATTGGTGTCAGAATAGTTAAAGTTACAATCATGATGATAACTATAATGATGAATCATACTATTATAGTGGTTATGATGGTGATGATGATGGTGGGGATGGTGATTATGTTGATGATGGTGATGATGAAGATGGTGATGATGATGGTAAGATGATGATGGTGGTGATGGTGATGATGAAGATGGTGGTGATGCTGAAGATGATGATGATGGTGGTGATGATGATGATGGTGGGGATGGTGATTATGTTGATGATGGTGATGATGAAGATGGTGGTGACGATGGTAAGATGATGGTGGTGATGGTGATGATGAAGATTGTGGTGATGCTGAAGATGATGATGGTGGTGATGATGATGATGATGATGATGATGGTGGGGATGGTGATGATGTTGATGATGGTGATGATGAAGATGGTGGTGACGATGGTAAGATGATGGTGGTGATGGTGATGATGAAGATGGTGGTGATGCTGAAGATGATGATGATGGTGGTGATGATGATGATGATGATGGTGATTATATTGATGATGATGGTGGTGATGATGGTGGTGGTGATGAGGGTGATGATGATGGTGATGGGGATAATGATGATGGTGGTGATGATGGTGGTGGTGATGGTGATTATGTTGATGATGGTGGTGGTGATGATGAAGATGGTGGTGATGGTGATGAAGATGGTGGTGATGGTGATGATGATGATAGTGATGATGATGATGATGATGATGATGGTGATGATGATGATAGTGATGATGATGATGATGATGATGATGGTGATGATGATGATGGTGGTGGTGATGATGATGGTGATGAGGATGATGGTGATGATGAAGATGGTGATTATGAAGATGGTAATTATGTTGATGATGATGATGATGGTCGTGGTGATGATGAAGATGGAGATAATAGTAATAATCTTGATCATGATGGTGGTGGAGATGCAGGAGATGGTGGTGGTTAAGTATTTAAGGTGATGACGAGGAGAATACGAGTTTCCCATATTTTGTAAATTATAATATATGCTATCCTAAAATGTCGACATCCTCGTTGTTGTGATAAATTGCCGGTACATGTCAAACACTTTGTACAATAAGTATATCATTAATCCGATACATTTCATTTCCCTTTCAACTTCTCTCTTTCTCTTCCGCATACCCCTTGTTCTGTTCATCATAAGCGTTATATTGCGAAACCCCAAAGGTTATTCATCTCAAATTATCAGCTCTGAATTTTGTCACGAATCCTAATTGGGCTAAATCGGGTCGCCCTTATCGCTTCAAATAAATAAACGAATTTAGGATTGACGTTTGAACTGATAAAGTTGACAACTGATATCCGTTATATCTGAACAATCGTCTGAGTGATTGATTTAAAAAAGTATTGTACGTGGCTAAGGGTTTGCACTTCAGAACCCCCCCCCCCCCCCTCCCCCTGCCCTCCCCCTCAATTTTTTTTTTTTTTGTCATTCAACTTTGCCCCAATTTAATTTTAAGCGACATTAACTTGATGATAGTGCAAGGCTCATTTCCCCCATGATACACCAATCACTGTAAACCATTTCATTAAACATACATTTCTCCTATTCGCGAAATACTCCTGTTTCTGCTCTCTTAACGCTTTAGATACGAATAATTTGGGTTCAACTCTCACTTCCTTTGTGTTTTCTTTTTCTATCTATACATGCATTTATCATCTCCCTATTCTGTAAACTGAATGTTCCACTATAGGAACTTGATAGTATCATAGGCATGTGTTTTATTTAGGCTTCATTTTCAACACGATTTTACTGTACCGTTGGACTCTGATATACTTGATGCCATTTGCGTATGTTTTATTTGTTTGGTTTTGTTTCCATCGGATGATCCAAGTAATGACCTAAAACTTTAACGCCAAAAATTTCGTTTCATTTGGCATCCATATTTTAACCGAGTCCCTTGCTATTTGAAACATATTTAGCCCATTGTTCGCGGAATTATTTGGCTTTGGCTGTGTATATGGACATCGCTAGAAAGAATTGGACACCTCCCCCCCCCCCCCCCCACCCTATTAAGAATTACTGTTCATGAATCAATACATTATTGTAGACTTGTCTAGCACGTTGAAAAGGAAATAGGAAACATTTGATTCAAAGTTAGCATCCTTTGAATGAACGTCAGCCCGCAAAATTGTTCCAACAAGACCACCCCCCCCCCCCCAAAAAAAAAAAAAAAAATATATATATATATATATATATATATATATATATATATATATATATATATATATATATATATATATATTATATCGACGTTCCTTCGTAACAGTTTGCTCTCAATCACACAGATCATCCACAAATAAGATTTTTTTAAAAAAATAGAGAATGATTTGATGTTCCTGCTGTGCAAGGGCATCACAATGCATGATAAAAAAAATTAAAGTGATATCTTTTTCCTGCATGCAGTACAAAGAACTTTGCATTGCGATATGAAAGCTCAATATTTACTGTCGAGATAAATTGATTTGGTATTTGCAGCTGCAGGAAAAGGAACTTTGCATGGGTTTCATCAACATTAAGATAGAAGAAGTGCATTTTTATCGATGAATAAACAAAAAAAATGATAAAACCGCGGTGCTTGTCCTCCCACGAGGTCGTAGACAGGACATAGTCTGATTGCAATTGTAATCATATTTGACATGACTGGGCAAAGTCCATTCTCCTTACAAAAGAACATCTTCACAATAATCAAAGTAAATAAGGCGTATACATTTACATTGTATTGTGGTAGATCTATTTATATTATGCAAACTAATATAATTACATTTATAACAATCAATGTAGGCCTATAAGTAAAGTTAATTTCAACAACTAAGTGAAATAAACAACATTTCATTCACCGGCATATAAAAATAGTAGGCCATCATTGAATATAACTTTATTACTCAAACAGTAATACATTATAATTTGTATTACACGTCTATGAGGATGCGAG